CACGCCTTCTGCAGCCATCCCGCACTATCTTTGGATCATTCAGCTTCAGGTTGCGCGGTTGTAGCGACAAGACTTGCTGCAAGTGTGGTTTGGCGCCTTCTTTAAGAGCATGTTTCAGCTTAGCTTTGTCAGCGCTGCGACATGTGTTTATGTCAAGATTTTTTGGTGGGTGGCCCAGTCCAATGCCAATTGTGCGCCTCCTAAGGTGACGTCTCCGACGTGTCGGAATTGGACAAAAAGTTTGCAGATCGTGCCTTCCGGGCAGCGGATCGTGATTCAGGCACAGATCTGGGAAATCTTTGTCGCCTGACTTACTGTCATTCATCACATGTGTCAGCAGCCATCTCGCACATGTGGGACTGCATGTTCTTGCTATTTTTTTGATGTCACGCAAACGTGCATCTCCGATGGGAAGCACATGATCATACAAGAACGCTTTGACATGGGCAGGTGTCAATGTTTGATATACTCCTTGAAAATTGCGAGTTGGAGCATTTTCCGGGGTCTCAGAAGTTTAGCGGCTTAGCGGCCTTCCTCTGGAGAAGAGGGCGCCTGCATGCGCAAGCCCACGTAGGTGGCTTTATTGACGTTGAGGAGTTTGCTGTTTGGTATTCGTCGTTCTGCTTCGCTGAGGAGGCATGGGGAAGGACAGACAGGGAGAGCGAGAAAGTGTGTCTGTGTGTGTGCGCGCAACATCCCAACAGACAACAGATGTAAAACATGTACCTTGTCAATGTCGATTTCGATGATTTTTTTTTGTAATTTCTCCGGCTCGCGCATAATTCAGGGGGGCAACCTCGTGAGCATCGCTGGTTGCCGAACGAAGAGGGCTATGCCACGGCGGATGTGGAGTTTGATCAACTCACGTACCTGCAAACCATGTCCATTTCAATTTGTCTGTGTTTTGGTTCCAGCATGGCAGCCGGCTGGGCCAGTAACCGGCATGTCGGTGGTTTACAACTTTTTTTCCTACACTGCTGTCGCAATCTGATACTTGAAAGGGAAGGTGCAGCTTCCAATTCTACTTCAGCACGACTGGTGGCTACACGTGATTTGTGCATACAATGGAACTTCGACGATGGGTTTCTCCATTCCTGCCTGCGCTCTTTTTCTCCTATCAGATTTACTGAGCTGATCCAGCGCATAAGATACATTCCAACTTCAAAATTCGAAAGGCAATCTTGAGCAAGTGTGTTACTCATGCTGGATTTGACAAGATGGAATGATCCCCTCGGGGAATACTGGGCACCTCTCCAGGTAGTAAGTTGGACCCGTAATCGAAACCTGAAGTGAGGCGCTTTAATATGGTAATTCGTTTAAGTAAGTGGAACAGTTGGCCTTTTGTATCTTCTCATCTGTTTGGGAAACGTCCTTTCCAATTGTGCCGAGAGTACTTCGGCAGTTCACAGTGAACACATAACAAGGTTTCCAGGCTTCAGGCCATGCCTGCAGGTGTGGTGATTACTTTCTTTCTATGGTCGTTGGTGAGGTACAGTCGCGCATTAATTCACAAGGGTTGAACACGTCAGCTGTCCAAGGGGTTGAAGAGACGACGGAGGGCCTTTGAGCCGTATCACGACTTATGAGCTGGAAGTTGGATGTACCGAGCATTGAAACATGTGTTTTCGTTGTTGTTTTTCATTCTCTTCCTGCCTAAGCGCTCCTCGCCGTGCTGCCCAACATGCTTCCTGTCTCGTGGATGCTGTGATGGAATTCTTGGGATCCCCAGTGGACCCGTTCAACAATCCAATGATGAGCCCTATGGTGCCATGGGCTGGCCTTCAACAAGGATCAACAAGGCATAGGAGGTCCAGTCAACGGAGGAGATCTTCACTTACACCAACAAGTTCACCAAGTCTAACAGCAACAGGCTCAGTCTCAGGCTCAGATTCAGTTGTTGCAGCAGCAGAACGCCTTATTGACCCAACAACTGACAGTCCAACAACCTCCAATGTCCACTTCTCAACCCACGCCTCCACCAGCTGAATTTCCACCTGCTCCAAGCTCACCTCCAGTCCAATCACCTCATGCCCATACTCCGCTACAAAGAAAAGAAGATGGCTAAAGTCTGCAAAGGGGAAGCTCGCAAAGCGATGAACACTTCCAGGCGTCTACATCGAGTCAAACCAAAGGCTTCAGGCTTGTCGCGCGGTACTTCCCGTTGCCTACTCCTTGTCCTTCTGGTCTACAGTCGATTCCACCCCCCCGCCATGCAATCACTACCCTCTGCCACACCTCCACAGCAACAACCACCAAAGCCACAACAGCCACAAGAGCCACAACAGCCACAACAGCACAAGGAACATCACAAGATTAGCACCTAAAAAACAAAAACGATTTGGTCCCATCCACGAAGAATGCACACCACGCAAAACAGCTAATTGGAAGAGTATTGTGCATCTTCCCTGGAGTGTGGAGTGGGGAGCGCAATGCGGGAGTTGAAAGTGCGAAGTGTAAAGTGTAGCGTGAAGAGTGTAGGGTGTGGAGTGTATTGTGTGGAGGGCGGAGTGTGGAGTGTGGATCGTGGAGTATAGGGTGTGGAGGGTAGTGTAGGGTGAGGGGAGCAGCGCGTCAAGTTTACGGTGACATGGGTTCATGAACCGCCCCACGTGTTGCACTTTAGTACAAATAATGTGCTGACGCAAAAACAGCCGGGCAGGTGCGCCTTCCACACTGCATGTTGGTCTGAAATTGTTCATATGGCGTTCACATGATGCAAGGGAATTCTATTGTGTAGAAAGCCGCAAAACACTACAGAGAGCCTTGCAAGGGAGACCCGGCAAAAAGGGCGTGCGCCAGCCCTTTCCAGCTATTAAAAAATAAAAATTAGACAACGCCGGAACCCCTAGCCGGAACCAAGAGGAACCAGCAAATCATGATGGAACAGAACCCCTTTCCTGTGGAAAGAAAGAAGAGAGAAGAAAGGGAGACAAGCACCGGAACCCCAGCCGGAACCAAGAGGAACCAGCAAATCATGATGGAACAGAACCCCTTTCCTGAGGAAAGAAAGAAGAGAGAAGAAGGGAGACAAGCACCAGAACCCCAGCCGGCACCAAGAGGAACCAGCAAATCATGATGGAACAGAACCCCTTGAACAGAACCCCTTTCCTGAGGAAAGAAAGAAGAGAGAAGAAAGGGGACAAGCACCGGAACCAAAGAAGAGAGAAGAAGGGAGACAAGCACCCGAACCCCAGCCGGAACCAAGAGGAACCAGCAAATCATGATGGAACAGAACCCCTTTCCTGAGGAAAGAAAGAAGAGAGAAGAAAGGGGACAAGCACCGGAACCAAAGAAGAGAGAAGAAGGGAGACAAGCACCCGAACCCCAGCCGGAACCAAGAGGAACCAGCAAATCATGATGGAACAGAACCCCTTTCCTGAGGAAAGAAAGAAGAGAGAAGAAAGGGGACAAGCACCGGAACCAAAGAAGAGAGAAGAAGGGAGACAAGCACCCGAACCCCAGCCGGAACCAAGAGGAACCAGCAAACCATGATGGAACAGAACCGCTTTCCTGAGGAAAGAAAGAAGAGAGAAGACGGGAGACAAGCACCGGAACCCTAGCCGGAACCAGGAGGAACCAGCAAATCATGATGGAACAGAACCCGTTTCCTGAGGAAAGAAAGAAGAGACAATTACCGGAACCCCAGCCGGAAACAGGAGGAGCCAGCAAATCATGAGGGAACAAAGGCCGTTTCTAGCCAGAATTGAGAACCCCATTCAGCTCAAGAGTTGTTTGGGGAATAAAAGGGCACCACTCCAGCGGGGTCAATATGAAGCTGGTCCATCAGATCTTCACATTCGCCAGCATCATGCGATCTGATGCTTGTCAAGTGTATTCTTGGATCCAACACGATCATCATGTTGGCGCGTTGCGTTTCCTGGGTTTTGCAAACGGAGTTGGCCCGCGGAGAAAAGGTTTAGCTTCATGTGGACCTGTGATCTATCATGTTCTTCTTGTGGTAGGTGACCGTTCGGCCTCAAGTCCGGCAGACGCGAGAATTGGCTCGACAGATGGGGCTTGAAATTTGCAGCTTGGCATGAATATGAAAGAGAAGGCACCCGCTTGCTTTTTACGGCGCGGAGCTCTGTGAAAAGGTTAGTTCACGTAAACCGCAAATGTCAGTTTCGTTTGGCATGGTTGATAGCGAAGGACATGCAATGATTAGTTTGTCGTCGCTGAGGGGCTATCGAGAAGTTCAGGCACGCCGTGCCGGCAGTTGGTATTGCTGTAAATGTTCGCTATCAGCTGTCAACCTTCACGATTTCTGGTGTCACAATTTGTGTGTGTGTGTAAGCCCGCCCCAAGGGCTGGAGGTGAGTTCCGGTGAGAGAGTGAATGCCTGCACGCAGCATTGTTTCTGTTTGTTTTTCCCCACATCTTTGTGTGGGGTTCTTGTTTTTGATTCTGTATCCCGCCTCCACCTCCGCCTCCTCGTTTTCCTCCGCCGCGCCCGCTCTTTGTCACACACCATCTTTGCCACACCATCTTTCACCACACAGCTTTGCACACCAGTGTCGCACACAACTTCGTCACACGCCATCTTCCACCACACCATCTTTCACACACAGCTTTGCACACCACTTTCGCACACAACTTCGTCACACGCCATCTTCCACCACACCATCTTTCACACACAACTTTGCACACACACACCACTTTGTCACACACAATCTTCCACCACACCATCTTTCACACACAACTTTGTCACACACCATCTTCCACCACACCATCTTTCACACACAACTTTGCACACCACTTTCACACACAACTTCGTCACACACCATCTTCCACCACACCATCTTTCACATACAACTTTGTCACACACCATCTTCCACCACACCATCTTTCACACACAACTTTGCGCATACTTGCTCAGAAATTTCTTATCGAATTACTGATGTGGAGCGCATCGTACGTGCAAAAACACTTCAGTTAAACCTGACAGGAATGTTTGAATGACTGGAAGTGAGAAACTGTGCGAAGGAAATCTTTCTACGTCCTTGCTCGAAGGATTTTCGGGTTCTGATGCAGCTCAGTCAGATTGCGAAAACCGTACAGGTGCTGACAAGAAACTGAAAGGTTTTGGTTTTGGTTAGAAGCGTTTGGAAAGAAGAAAATCGACTTGGAGGTTCTTGGGTTGAGCCTCTTCCCATCAGCAGACATTGACACTTGAATGGAAGCAAACCCTGAACAACAGGTGATCACAACTAAGCAGGTACGTCCAGCTGGCCAAGCTGGATATCCCATTTCACTGGTAGCTTCGTTGGACACAGTCCCAGTGAAATGCTGTGTCCCCCTGCATTGGATTGGAAGGAGAAACGGAAAAAGCACTAGAAATACAATCCGAAAGGACAAGAAAACCCTACTCAAGCAACAAGTAACATCGAAATCATAAGGTAGAAGTTTTTCATCTATTCAGATGTTCCACACACACACACACTTGCTCAGAACAATCTTTGCGAATTCTGATGTGGAATGCATCCTACGTGCAAAAACAATCCAGTTATACCGTTATACCTGACAGGAATGGGTCGGGGAACTGACCCGAGAAATTTCGAAAAGTTCTTCAAAGGCAAATGAAAAATGCAGATTGCGACAACAGTGCAGTAGAGAAGAAGCCTCAATTGGAAATAATCGACATGCCGGTTCTTGGCTTGGCCGGTTGCCATCAGCGAAAAAAAGTGAAGTTATCAGATTGGTCTTGCAAGCTATGTCCACGACATCCATGCCAAGATCTGCAGGTACAGGTGAATGATCAGTTCACCCTTCCCCCATCATACCATAGCTTCGTTGCGTCAAGTAGGTATGATGGGCCTGACGCCCCTGCCTCTGAGAATTGGAAATGGAAAAATTAAAAGTTTTACATCTCTTCAGATGGCTCACACACACACCACTTTGTCACACACCATCTTCCACCACACCATCTTTCACACACAACTTTGTCACACACCATCTTTCACACACAGCTTTGCGCACCACTTTCGCACACAACTTCGTCACACACCATCTTCCACCACACCATCTTTCACACACAACTTTGTCACACACCATCTTTCACACACAGCTTTGCGCACCACTTTCGCACACAACTTCGTCACACACCATCTTCCACCACACCATCTTTCACACACAACTTTGCACACACACACACACCACTTTGTCACACACCATCTTTCACACACAACTTTGTCACACACCATCTTTCACACAGCTTTGCGCACCACTTTCGCACACAACTTCGTCACACACCATCTTCCACCACACCATCTTTCACACACAACTTTGCACACACAACTTTGTCACACACCATCTTTCACACACAACTTTGCACACACAATTTTGTCACACACCATCTTTCACCACACCATTTTTCACACACAACTTTGTCACAACTTTGCACACACACAACTTTGTCACACACCATCTTTCACATCACTTTGCCTGGCAGGCGTTGCACTTGGTGACATCCACCTTCATTTCGTGTGGCAGGCGTGGCACTTGGTGACATCCACCTTCGTTTCGCGTGGCAGGTGTGGAACTTATGGCACTGGGCTGGCTCTGGTGGCGCAACTTTGTCACAACTTTGCACGCACACACTTGCTCAGAAATGTCTTATCGAATTACTGATGTGGAATGCATCACACGTGCAAAAAAACACCCCAGTTAAACCTGACAGGAATGGTTGGATGATTAGAAGTGAGAAACTGTGCGAAGGAAAACTTTCAACGTCCTTGCTCGAAGGATTTTCTGGTTCTGATGCAGCTCAGTCAGATTGCGAAAACCGTACAGTGGTTTGGTTTGAAAAAGGTTGAAAAACGACATGCCGGTACTTGGCTTAGCCGGTCGCCATAAACAATGGAAAATTGAAGCAGGTACGCAGAGCTGATCAGGCTCTGTATCCCATACAATCAGGTAGCTTCGTTGGACGTGGTCCCTGATTGTATGCCACGTCCCCCTGCTGTCCTATGGACTATACGATACTACAAACTGTGCAAACCGTGATACCTATTTAGAAGCAAATTGACATCAGCAGGTAGAAGTTTTCCATCTTTTCAGATGGTCCACACACACGCCTCGCTGCCGCGAGGCTGTTTTTTGCAACTGCGGAGCGGTTAGTGAAGCTCTTATCTGGGCCCTGAGACAGGATGCAGCGATTGACGCAAAATCAAAATACAGGGAGGAAATTTGCATTTGAATTAGCCGGTTTGCTCAGAACGACATCGGCTGGAAGTTCAGCTTGTCGCTAGTCATCGATTTCGGACAACTCCTCCATGTTCTGAGCCTGCTGGGAAAGAACATAAGTCGTCTGAGCCAAATGGCTGGCAAGGTGGGCCAAGTCTGCCGCCGTGAAGACCTGGGCCGGATTGGTGCTCAAGTAACCCCCTTTTTTCTCAAGCTTCTCAAGAATCGCCATGTTGGCCTCTCTGTCATTGTTGAGAATGTTCCAAAGAATGGTGGCCAGTTGGTGGATCTGACTCGGTGCTGAAGCGGCTCCGGCATTGGCGATGATGGAATCCGTGTCGTCCATCCCTGATCCCGGCAGGGATTCATGGCTTTCTTCCCATTGGTTCGCGCCATCGGACTCTTGCTGGTATTGATGCCAGTTTCCGTCAGGAAGCACCTCAGGAATATTGAAGTGGCGACGCCGGTAGTTGGCGAGTTGGGTAGCTTGCTCCCAAGAGTCTATCCATCCGTTTCTATCAGCACGGATGTGATCAATGATCCCATTGAAGAAGAACTCCGGTTGACGGTTCCGGTATACCCCGTACCGGTCTACTTCCGTCACCATGAGGCGACGGGTCTCTAGTTGAGATCGATCAACCTGAGGCGAGCAGACCTCTGTGAAGATATGAGCGTGGAGCTGGCGACGTCTTTGTTCAAGCTCCCTCTGGAGTGGGTAAGTTTCGGCCTGTCCAGGAGGGATTGGATGTTGATGATCAGCCGGAGCGGGAAGGGGTACTGATGGAGCCGTAGTCAAGTACCCGTAGAGAGATGACTGGTCATTGTGGTGGGCTGCTGAAGAGGAAGGCCAGGTGCTGAACTCAGTGAACTCGGTGACACTGCGAGGATGATGGCTCGAATCAGAAGGTGTGGCAGCACTACTGGGAAATCCATGAGAACGAGGATGACGTCGTGGTATGCTCATCGATGTTGAATGAGAGGTGAAACCGGCAAGAACAGAATCACGTTTGGTCATGATATAGCTGAAGCCAAGAGCTGAAGGTGGATGTTAAAGGTGAAACAAGAAACCAAGCAAGAGGTGGAAGGAAAAGGATTGTAATGAGCAACTCTCACTTTAAAAGAAAAACCAAAGGTTGCAAGCGATTTTTGTCCATGTCTGCAAGCGATGTTTGTCCATGTCATGGAAGCATGTTGCGGTTGGGAAGAGCCTCATGGCAGCTCACACGCATGATGTATGGCTGGTAGTGAGACGTAAAATATCGGATAGTATCAGGAAAAAAGAAGCATTCTTGCCCTTCATTCCAATGAGGACGATGTTCGTGTAGAAGTTCGACCAGTCGGTCTTCATTATGGAGGGCAAAGGATTCTCCAGTTTCATCTTGCCAACGAATGTCCATTGAAGAAGGACGAAGGTAGCGGTCCCATGTATACCATATGTGTTGGCTGATGATATACAAAAGGTTGTACACCGTGAAAGTGTCAAGTCTTTGGGTGCTCAGCAGGACATTGTAGGTGAACAAGGCCCTTTCTTCAGTGCGGCTGAGAGCGGGGAGCACGTCGCAGGTTGTGGACTCCATGATGTCATCATGGACTTTGATCATGTGAGATCGTACACCTTCCAAGTCAACGATCACGAGCACGTTTCGAAGACGAGGAGGAGGAGGTGTATCTTGCCATGAATCTCGATATGGACTACGGTGCTGGGACGGTCGATGCCGCCACATATAATTATCCCGGGAGCGGGATCTTTCGGGTATAGCACGATTGTGAACGGACGAGTGAGCCATAGTGCCTGAAGTAATGAGGCAACAGCCAATGCGCCACAAAATAGAAAGAACAAGAAGAGAAGGAGAAGGAAGGAGAGGAGAGAGAAACCGCGACAGAAAAGAGGAACCACGAGGACAAGGAAAAGAAAGAGGAAGACCGGAAAGACAGAAGCAGCGGCTGCACACTTTTTGTCGACGGGAGATCAATGCAAGTTAGTCCTCAGCCTCAGGTTCATGAGGTGGATGAACACGGCCGTGTTGGTCCGTTTGTTTTAGGATGCCCCAGCGGAGTTTGCACACCTGGGGATCACGATGTAGTCTGGCCCCGATCGTCTTCCACGAAGGGCGGGACTTTGTGTCCTGTTTCATGCTGATCAGCTCTTGATCATCCGCGTTGGTCCATGGGCGAAATGGTGGGTCTCGAGGAGGGTCCGCGGGATTGGGTGGTGGGTGGTCGTCGGTGGTGGTGGGTGGTGGTGGGTTGGTGGTGGGTGGTGGTGGTGGGTGGTGGGGGGGTGGTGGGTGTTGGTGGGGTGGTGGTGGGGGTGGTGGGTGGTGGTGGGTGGTGAAGTTTTCCATCTTTTCAGATGGTCCACACACACGCCTCGCTGCCGCGAGGCTGTTTTTTGCAACTGCGGAGCGGTTAGTGAAGCTCTTATCTGGGCCCTGAGACAGGATGCAGCGATTGACGCAAAATCAAAATACAGGGAGGAAATTTGCATTTGAATTAGCCGGTTTGCTCAGAACGACATCGGCTGGAAGTTCAGCTTGTCGCTAGTCATCGATTTCGGACAACTCCTCCATGTTCTGAGCCTGCTGGGAACTAGTTAATGACATGATGCATCCACAACGCATGCAAAATTCGTGATAAGGCTCAAAGGCCCTCGGCTTTCAAGTCACAACCCTCTGGACGGCTTACGTGTTCAACCCCTGAATTAGGTGCACAATTTCAACCTCACCGAGAAACCAAAAAAGAAGTGGCCAAACCTGGGAAGCATGTCCTGTTGCCTGTTCGTGTAAATGGCTGCGGGCTGTCTCTTGATATGACGTGTTCAACCCCTGAATTACGTGCACAATTTCAACCTTACCAAACAACCAAAAGAGAAGTGACCACACCTGAAAAGCATGTCCTGTTACCTGTTCATGTCAAAATGGCTGCGAGCAGTCAACCCTTGAATTACGTGCACAATTTCAACCTCACCAAACAACCAAAAGAGAAGTGACCAAACCTGGAAAGCATGTCCTGTTACCTGTTCATGTCAAAATGGCTGCGAGCAGTCTCTTGAGCTCCACTGAAAAGGAAGATTGTTGGCGTGGCTTCAGGCTAATGGCATCTTGAAATTCACTTGAAAAGGTTGAGTCCCCAGTACAACGGGCAGCTGTTCAACACAAATCGACATCGACAAGTGAGACCAGGAAACAAGGCCGGCAGTTCACTTTACTTAGACGAATTACTAATTCAAAAGTGTAAATTCAGACATCGTGTTACCGTCAATTGTTAGCCTACAAAGGCTTTCCCCGAAGGGCTCATACCACCTTGTCGGACAACGGTATGAGTGACACACTTGCTCAGAAACATCTTATCGAATTACTGATGTGGAATGCATCGCACGTGCACAAACAATCCAGTAAAGTCTGACAGGAGAACAAGGATGACTAGGCGAGAAAACCAATAAAGAAAAATTCTTTCATCATCCTGATTAGGAGCAACTGTTCCATCTGACGAAGTCAGCAGTAAATCAGATTGCAAAAACCGTACAGTGGTTGGAGACCTATTGGAAACGAAGCTCTGAGGAAGGTTCAGATGCAGCATAAACCATAATGAAAATTGGAAATTCAAACGACATGCCGGTACTTGGCTTAGCCGGTCGCCATTGACGAAATTGGAAAATGGTGCAGGTACGTCCAGCTGGCCAAGCTGGATATCCCATTTCACTGGTAGCTTCGTTGGACACAGTCCCAGTGAAATGCTGTGTCTGTTGGTAAACCTGGTGATACTGGTTGATCCCCTGCTAAGTTAGAAGTTTTACATCTTTTCAGATGGTTCATACACACACACAACTTTGTCACACACCATCTTTCACACCACTTTGCGTGGCAGGCATGGCGCTTGCTGACATCCACCTTCGTGTTGCGTGGCAGGCATGGCACTTGGTGACATCCACCTTCGTTTTGCGTGGCAGGGGTCGCACTTTTGGCACTGGGCTGGCTCTGGTGGTGCGCTTGGGCGCGCTTGGTCGCCGGTGCCGCCGCGGTACTTTGCGTGGCAGGCGTGGCACTTGGCGACATCCACCTTCGCTTTGCGTGGCAGGCATGGCACTTGGTGACATCCAACTTCGTTTCGCGTGGCAGGCCTAGCACTTGGTGACAGCAGGCGTGGCACTTGGTGACATCTACCTTCGCTTTGCATGGCAGTCATGGCACTTGCGGCACTCGGCTGGATCTGGTGGCGCGCTTGGGCGCGCTTGGCTCCTTTCCACCTTTGTTTTGCATGGCAGGCGTAGCACTTATGGCACCAGGCTGGCTCTGGTGGCGCGCTTGGTCGCAGTTAGTCTTTGCGTGGTAGGCGTGGCACTTGGTGACATCCACCTTCGTTCCGCGTGGCAGGCGTGGCATATTGCGTGGCAGGCGTGGCACTTGGCGACATCCACCTGTGTGTTGCGTGGCAGGTGTGGCACCAATTTCTCACACGCAACTTTGTCACACACAACTCTGTCACACACCATCTTTCACCACACCATCTTTCACACACAACTTTGTCACACACCATTTTTCGCCACACCATCTTCCGCACACCACTTTGACACACCATCTTTCACACACAACTTTGTCACACACACCATCTTTCTTTGTCACACGCCATCTTTCACATACAGCTGTGTCACACACAACTTTTTTAAAATTCTCGATCCTCCACCACCTCCGTTGTCTTTCCTTCCTTCCCCGTCCCCGCTACAACATTTGTTGCTCATTGTTGGAAGAAGTTGACTTGTGGGGTTATCCGGTCCTTTCATTTGTCTTGGCAGATGCGGCTAAAAGGCACAGCCACATCCCAAAGAGAATATGGGCAAAAAACAATACGTAAATTTTGCCGAAGTTAAAAAGATACAAAGCTGTTTTTCCTTGACGTTTGCTTAGACAACATGGATTTTCGTGCTGGCTGATATTGGGTCTACAAGGTGTTTCATGTAAATTATGCCAGCCCACTCACCTGTGGACTCAACTGCTTCAGGTGCTGAAAACAAAATTTTCAGCAAATAAATCTATGATATATGTTATTTCTTTTTCCTCGGCGTGGGAATTCACACCGGGTCCGCCCACATTGGACGTCAATGCATTTGGCATTTGCGACTTTTTTGATGTCAAATCAACATGTGCCCCGTGCCCATCCTACCATCGGTACTGCGCGTGCTGCCAGGGTGGCTTTTGATAAGTCCTCGCCGCAGCGGGACGGGAAAGGACCCATAAAGTGCGTTTTTTTGGTAATTGGGGACGCCATGGTGCATGCAGCCACGTTGTGACTTTGGAAAGGATTGCCAAGGTGCACGTGGCATTGGTTTTGGTTGAGCTTTCATGAGTTGCCGATTCTGAATATTGGTTACTGAAATTTTCAGCCCCAAGCTGAAGGTGTGAATCAATTTCAACGGTTTGTAAACAGGAATTGAAAATGCCATTGATTTTGCTTGCCCGAGATATTCCCACATCCTGTCCACATGTTCTATGCGTTCGTGTCCAATTTTTACAGGCGGCACATTGTTGTTCTGAAAAATCCACCTTTTGCCCCATGTTTGCCAAGGCTCTTGGCCCAACCGTCCATACAATGGCTAATTTTTCAGGTACGATGCAGATGGAAGTGGCGAGATTGAGTTCGATGAGTTTTCCGACATGGTGCAGGAATTGTTGAAGGCCACCGCAAGTGTGAGTGCCAATAAAATTCAATAAAACAGTCGACATTTGCTGTTGCCACATGTGCACAAATCGAGAAGTGTAACAAGTTTCCTCACCTGCGACTTCCAGGTGCACCTTTTGTGTCAAGCATAGGAAAAGGGCTGCCTACTTGAATTTGGTAGCGGAGCTGGTGACCCCAGACTCCAATTTTACTTTCTCACCTTCTTTTCACTTCGGTGTCACGCCATTGCACTACGATCTTCGAGCTGTTCTCGCTGGGCGGCGCTGCTGTGGTGGACGAGCTTTTGGGCGCACTACATCATTGCGTTTGCCCTGACAGAGGATGGCTACAGCGGCTTCCAGCTCTACCGGAGGAGGAATCCCGCTGGATGAATACCGACGGGACGTGCCGCCGGGTTGGAGTCCGGGAAACATGGACTACCCGCTGAAGCTCTACCTGGAGCGGGTGAAGATGTGGTACCGGATTTATGAAGGCCCTGATGAATCAGTTGGACCTCTACTTGCTGGGCGACTCCGTGGACGAGCTCAACAGATAGCTTTGACACTACGCCTTCCTGATCCTCATGGTGGAGTGGACATCGGAGACGGCGCTCTGGTCAGGCTATCAGTTGATGAAGTCCGAGACCCAGTCAATGGCCAGGTGATTCAGCAGGCGATCCCAAGCGGAGTTCAGGCACTACTTGCTGCCCTTCGAGCCGCCTTTGGAGAAGCAGATCAACTTCGTGCGACTCGGGCGATGGAGGTCTTCTTCGAGTTCAAAAGAGGTCGCATGGCGCTGCCAGAATGGTCAGTCCAATGGCAGCTGAACTTGGACGAGGCCATCACGCACTCCGGCCTGGACCTCAACAATGTGGCTCGAACCTACCTCTACCTGAAGTCGTCGCAGCTGAGCCAGAAGATGATAGACGATCTCCTTCTTCAAGTTCATGGGGACATGGCCAGGTTCGACGAGATCCGCACCCTCATGCTGAGCATGTCACATAGGAGCTTTGATGCTGGCTCCCACTCAGCACTCTATGAGGATGGATCGCAATCCTATGGCGAAGATGATGGTTCCTGGAGTGCTGTCACTGACAACTGGTCAGACAGCGGCCCCTCTGGCACCTACCACATGGACGAGCTCTACGCATGGTATGACGATGGATGGTATGGTGACCCATGGGACTATGAGGAGGTCGACTACGACAGCTACTACCAGGACTGGCCCGAGCACTACGACTATGGCTGGGATGATGAACAACCAGAAGATGATGGAGCCGACCAGAAGGAAGACTCCGGCAACACCCAGTCTGAGAAGGAGGACTACTTCAAGGGCAAGGGCCGACCTTCGTCAATGGGCCTTGGATGTGGCACTTGTGGGAGCAAATGGCACAACACCCACTCGTGCCCCCTGAATGATGCTCAGAAAGGAAAAGGAAAGAACTACGGCAAGAACAAGGGCAAGTACAAGGGGTCTAGCAAAGGCAAGGGCTATGGGAAGAGCTTCAACAGGAAAGGCTTTGGAAGACCCAAGGGTTACAAGGGCTTCGGCAAGAAAGGATCCTTCAATGGTGGACGTTTTGGTCGCAAAGGATACCTCTTGGATGAGATGCCGAAGAGCTACATGGACTACTACGGCGGTGCCTATCTCATGAACAAGAACGGCATTCAGGACACCAACAACCTTCAGGAGAATGCCAATATCCCTGAGGTGACCATTCGAGACACCTTCAATGTGGAGGATGCCAACAAGCTCTTTCCTGGTCGAAAAGTTCGCTTTGCAGATCAACCTGAACAAGAGTCTCCAACTGATGGCAACAGCGAACCACGACCGAAGAAGCTCAACTTCCCTGAGATCAACGAGAACGCCTTTGAGAGCTACCACACAGTTCGAGGCAAGAAGATCTGTGGGCTGCTCGTAGACCCTGGAGCAAGCTCAGGCCTTGTCGGTACTGACACGTTGCGAGAGCTCTTGGACTCCGGCATGGTGCCCCAGGACAAGGTCAAGGAGATCACATGGGGCCCATCTTCAACTACGGTGACAGGGATTTCTGGCCAGGCAGACAGCACTTTGGCCAGAGTTTCTCTCCCTTTTGGACTTGGCTTGAAGGAGGCTGAATACACTGCAGACCTCATTGGTGGTTCCGGGAGTACCTGTCCTGCACTTCTTCCCAACACCAGCTTGAGACAGCTGAGGACGGTCATGCTGACCCAATGGTACGAGAACGGCCACGGTGTGATGATTTGCAGCACCAATGGCCTTCGACCGGACCATCCACAAGCCGATTTGGTCGTCACCAAGTTGCTTCTTGCAGAGTCAGGTCACTACATCTTACCAGTCAACCAGGTGGACCAAACTATGACGGAGGATGAGAAGACCGAGATCTTGAGACTCTGGCGATGCAAGAAGAAGACCGGCCAAGCAGCAGCACGTGAGCAGAGCGACAATTGCCATCTCCACGACAACTCTCTCAACATCGACAGCAACAAGCTCCAGTTCAACACTGAGACACTGGAGTCTGAACTTCCATCACTACCAGAACCCAAGATGAATGACAACATCTACAACGATGTCAAGATCTCCATGAAGGTTGACGACACCGAGCCTGCCATCCAAGTCTTGAAGGTGGACACCATGGACGAGGAGTACGACGAAACACAACAGTCGTATCCTGGAGATCAATTTCCTGCACATCTCCCCAACGGCAAGTTGAAGTACCTGTCCAAGCTCTACAAGGCCATCCCAGAGGAGTTCTACACGAAGACACGTCGTGCACCAGTCACTCCAAGGAATGCAAGATCATGGGCACGAAATCGGAAGAACTCTCACTTCCACCTCTGGGAGTTTTGCAGCGGCTCTGGAAGACTGTCTTTTCTGGCAGTGTGCGCTGGCTTGATGGTGATGTTCCCCTGGACTACCGGTACGGCTGGGATCTTGGATGCTCTTCACATCGCAAGCTGATTGACGAGATCGAGAGCAACCTTGCCCCTGATGTGGAGTACATGAGTCCAGCCTGTCGACCGTGGTCAATTGCATCTACACGAAGGGACTTGGAACAAACCCAACGTGAACGTGATGAAGAGATGCCCACGATCGAGTACCTCAAGTCCAAGGCCAAGAAACAATGTCGCAACCATCGAGGTTATGTCTGGGAACAACCATGGTCTTCTGCAATGTGGCCTCACTTGGAAGACAACCCAGGCGACATCCAACGCACAGACCAATGCCGTTTTGGAGCTTGCGACGAAGTACAAAACCCAATTTTGAAACCAACAGGATTGCAGAGCAGTCTCGCTCTACGTCACAGCCTCAGAAGATGCAAAGGACACATGGGCAAGAAACATGGATGGCTTCAAGGACAATATCAAGGAGCTTGCCGCACAACTCTCGCAGCTATCTACCCTGAGGCTCTATGTCGTGCCATCATCAAGGACGTGAAGCGCTTTGTGAGCAACAAGACCACCGTCTTCAGCGACTTCTACAAGTGTGAACGCTGTGCTCTGGGACGCGCTGCCACCGATGATTTGAGGCACTCCTTCATTCCTGGAGAATGTCGACATGGACGATGGCCTGAAGGAGAAGGACCCAAGGACAAGAAGAAGGCTGAGCAAGAACGACGTGAACAAGATGATCTTTGGGAAACCTTCCGCAAGGAAGCCATCAAGAACGAGAAGGTTGGTGCTGGAAAAGTTTCTGCCCACTCCGACTTTGCCTTTGACAACGAGCAGTTGCTGATCTTCAAGATGGTCATGGTCAAGCTGCTCGACGAAAGCATCAAGGAGTTTGAGCTGGCGGAGATGGAGAAGCGCGACTACGAGCAGAACCATTGGCTTCAAGATCCCACAGCACTTGGCTGGATCAAGAAGGTCTTCAAGGACTACATGGACGTCAAGGGAGTGATGTCAAACCTACTCCCTTGGAGCAAGCCAACACCAGCACCAGTTCTGACCTTGGAGCAAGCGCCACTACGACTCCTCATCCAAGGGTCAGTCATGCGGTGGACCATTGGAAAGATGGAAGATCTGCGTGAACTTTCAGCTAGCCAGATCCACGAGCCCATGGAGTTAGACGATGATTGGATGGTGGCCATCTTTGGCAACGACCCCAACCAGAAGGAGACAACATCCTCATCATCTACAGCATTGGTGCCTGTGGATCAGCTGAATGAAGACCAAGAAGAACTTGCAGGTGATTTGGTTCCTTTAGAACCTCCAGACCATGACAGTGAGGAGCCTGACAAGATCGCAGTTCATCCTGGTGGCCTCAAGCCAACCTACGACTTCAGAAGGATCTTCAAGAAGCTCCCCCGTCTTGCTCTGGATGATGAGACCGCTGCGAAGAGGCTCATACTTGGACTCCACGAACGTCTTTGGCACTCTGGCCTCACCGACACCGTGAACATCCTACGACGTTGTGGAATGCCTCACCATGTTTGCCGACTTGCTCCTGACGCAGTGGCCTCTTGCATGATCTGCCGAAAGTACTCCAGAGCTGGCAGACGACCTCAACACAAGGGAGTCAACCTCTCCTGCAACTTCAACGACTTGGTCCAGACAGACATCTTCCACTTCCAAGACGAGATCTACCTCATCACTGTGGACGAAGCCACTCGCTACAAGATTGCCACGAAATGCACTGGGCGCTTTCTCAAGGACATTCTCTCTGCCCTGATGACCTCCTGGATCAGGTTCTTTGGACCTATGCGAGTCTTGGTGACAGATCAGGAATCCTCTTTGATGACAGTAGCTGCTGGAGAAGAACTACAACGTCTTGGCATTGAAAGAAGACCAGCAGGAACCACCAGTGGCAGACAAGGTCAACGACATACCACGACAGGACTGGTGGAGAAGCACATCGACCTGATCAAGCTCACCATGGTGAAGATCCAGGCAGAAGCCAGCAGATGGGGCATTGAAGTTCAAGGAGAAGAACTTGCAGCTGAAGCGTCAATGGCTCAGAACACAACCATGAGCGTTGGTGGCTACAGCCCCGTGACCATGCTGTTCGGCATCCTTCCTCGAGGCTTCATGGACCCAGAGGCAGCACTACATGGTGACATTGAAGAGGGAGCTGCCGAGTCAACTTTTGAACGCAGCCTTCGACTACGCCAGATTGCTCTTCAAGCCTCTCAAGCAGCCATTCTTGAAAGCCGGATAGCCAGAGCCAATCGATCACGACCTCAACGACTACGAGTAGAAGATTTGGTTCCTGGCACAACTACCGTTGAAATCTTTAGAGAAGATGGTAGCGGCCAAGGATGGCGTGGTCCTGCAACGATCCTGAAGATCGACGAGGAAGCTGGCAATGCAGTGGTGGACTTCCAAGGAAAACCTTACCTACTTGGCCTACGACATGTTCGACCTCTACGTGACTCCTTCCACATCCACTTCAACACCTCCTCATCAACTTCGACAGTTGCTGATGCCGAAAAGGCCATCACAGCCATGAAGGAAGTGGTGGAATCGAGCACTCCATACAGACCCTTCACTATGGGCGAGGTCTACATCGAGAACAACAACGAAGCCAAGATGGTGAAGTTTCCCAAGACAGAAAGTCCTACAACCAATGCGATGCTGAGCAACGCCAAGATCTTTCTCCAGTACCACTACGTGAACTTCGTGCTCCACGGCATCAAGTTTGGCAAGGGCATGAAAACCATCATGGTACCTCGCTACTCCAAAGGAGTGATGATCACATGGCCCGAAGGATCCTATGGCATTGCCATCACAGAGCACAACTCCGATGCACACCTGCACATCAAGGAGTACCTCAACCGAAACGTGGACAAGCTCTGTCACCTCTACTTCTACGGCTATGTGTTCCACCAGAACGAGGAGAACAACGTGCCCTTCAAAATCACCAAGAGAAAGATGCCCGAGCAACTTCCTCTACCTGAAGCCCAAGATCTACCAGACACTGAGATGGAGGAGCCAGAGGACAACAAACGAAAAGGGCCTGACAGCAGAACAGTAGTTCTGGCACCAGAAAAGAAGAAACAACGCATCCAATGGACTTCACGAGACCTTCTCTACCAACGATCTCTTTGGTGGATGCTTCAACGGCCCAAGAAGTATGTCCTGGAGCCTCACTCAATCTGGTATGAACTTGAGGAAAGATGGATGAGGAAGAAAACCATGACAATCATGCCAACTGAGAATTACCTTCTTCATTGCCACAGCAGGACAAAAGCCTTCCTCGAGATCGACATCAAGAACTGGGAAATCTATCGAGTAGACCAGCAGACCGACACCTTGACTGAAGGAGATGTTCTACGACATTGGCCTCTCTTTGAGACTGCTGATCGTGAGGAACTACGACAATTCATCGACCAGAACATCTTCAAGAAGGTCTGGCTGGGCGACTTGGAGGAAGGAACCACTGTGGTGGATGCAACATGGGTCAGGAAGTTCAAAAGACTTCCCAATGGTGAACTGGCTGCAAAGAGCAGACTATGCGCCAGAGGATTTCTTGACCCTCAACGACAAGAACTTCCAACACGATCTACTACGGCCACACGACTGTCACAGCGATTGGTGGTGAGCGTTGCAGCCACACACAACTTCATCTTGGCCTCACTGGACGTCAGCGGTGCATTCCTGAAGGGCTTCACCTTTGAGAAGGTCCGACAAGTGCTGGCCAAAAGAGGAATTGTCTCTCCTCCTCGGAAAGTTGTGGTAGTGCCTCCACCAAACACTTGGCGACAGTTGGCCCACTTCGACGAGAGCTTCTACGTGCCTGAGGAGTCCTACGGCAAGTTTGGGCTACTTTGTCAAAAGCCTGCCTATGGGCTGAATGACGCCCCACTTGCTTGGCAGATGAGCCTTCAGGAGACTTTGGAAGAAGGAGGAGGAGTCCAATCACTGCTGGACGAATGTCTTTGGCACTTCAAGCACCCTGATGGACGTTTGAAGGGATTGGTATCCACTCATGTGGATGACTTGGCCATTGCCTCCGGCGAGCAGTTCTTGATGGAGCAGCAGAAGAAGCTCAACTCCAAGTACGGCAGCATCAAGGCACAGAGGACACCTTTCACTCACTGTGGTTGCCGATACTCTGAACTTCCTGGAGGTGGCTTCAAGGTTGACCAGCAGGACTTTGTGGACTCCCTCAAATGCCAGGAGATCACCAACACTGGTGACAACTCACGACCTCTCACTGCCGAGGAGCTCACAAAGTTTCGAAGTGCTCTTGGTGGCCTACTTTGGTTGACAGCAACTCGACTTGACTTGGTTGCTGATGTCAGCATCTTACAAGGCAGAGTCACAAAAGCCACGGTGGGCGACATGCTGATGGCCAACTCTGTGATTCGCAAGGCCAAGCAGAAGCAGTACTATGGCATGGGCTTGACCTACAAGAGATTCTCAACCTCTACACCTTGGAGACTCCTGACGATCCACGATGCCTCTGCCGCAGCAAAAGGGCGAAACTATGCTCAGGAGCGTGTCATCATTCTACTTGCTCCAGACCATCTACGGCTTGATCAGAAGATCCACACTCTCTGTGGAACCGATGTCAATGAAGAGGTCTTTGGTGGTCCCGCACACATTTTGCTTGCGCATGGTGCCAAGGCCAAGAGAATCTGCTACTCAACGAGCCATGCAGAAACCCTGGCAGCCATCTCAGGCCTCGAAACATCAACTTTGGTGAGTTTGCGATTGGCAGAGATCCTGATGAAGGAGCGCAAACCCACGCTTCAACAACTTGCTGCACTACAAGAAGGTGGAGTGGATTTCCTGCCGGTGGACAGCTACACCGACTGCAAGGACTTCTTTTCCTTGACCACGGGCGTAACAGCCTTGCCACAAGACAAGAGCCAGAGGATCTATATCTTGGCACACCGAGAAGCCAGAATCAAGGGCCGTCTTCGATGGATCATCCTGGTGCCCACGGAGTACATGACAGCAGATCCTTTGACCAAAAGTATGTACTCAAGGCCACTTCTTGGACTGATGGCAGAAGGAGAAGTTCACTTCTTCAACAAGGATGGTCACCCAATTCAAGCTCGAAGATTACCAGTGATCAATGACTTCACGGAGGAACAGCTCGAGAAGGGTGACACCTCGTGGATGGAAAACTATTTGAGCATCGAGAACATCAAGCAGATCCAACATCACACTACATCATCTCCGAGAACATGGTCCTCAGCAAGCTCTACACGAACGAACCTTTGGCTGCTGATCTTCCTCTACTTTGCAAGCGCAGCTGCAGGAATGGATGGAAGAGATGATGAAGCACAATGCAGTGCTGATGAAGTTTCACCGTATGGACGGCATGCACAGGCCTTCATCCTGTCAGTCATGATGGTGGCGATTTTCTGCCTGACCTACATTTTGTTTTGGACCCGGAGGACCTTGGATCAACTGCGATGCTACATGCAGATCCGCGTCGTGGACGAGGTCACACCGTTGGTCTACCGGGTGATGGATTTGGAATGCAGCGAGATGCAGACTCGCAGTGACTTGGATCAACTTCTACGACAAGCCGCAGAAGCACGGGGAGACCTGGACACTTTGTTCAGAGCAGTGAGGCATGCTTCGCCTCACCCCGATGAGCCTTCTCAACAGCGGCGACGCCTCATCGACAATCGACCTCCAGTTGCAGAACCTGACTGTGAAAGGAGCCATGAAGATTCACCACAACCTGCCGAAGAAGAAATATCCTCAGAAGATGAGAATGAGATTGACAGGTTGGTTGCCCTGGCACGGCGCTCAAGATCGCGGGACGACAGCCTACATCATGGACGAGACCTACAGGCTGGCGGAAGTGGCGATCGAGCTCTACACGCGGGCGCTGGCGGAAGTGGAGATCGAGCACTTCACGCTGATGCTGGTGGCGACGAAGAACCTCATGGTGAAGAAGATCCTGAAGAAGAAGCAGTGGAAGAGGACGATGAGTTTGCGGCGTTCCCACATGGCAACACCTCTGACGACGAGTTCGAGCAGAGGCATGAGACGGAACGTCAAAGGCAGGAGATGAACTTCCGCATCCACTACATGCTGATCCAGGCCAACAACTTGGGAGTTGAGCTCCATACTGCTGGACAGCGGTATTCACAGGGAAGGATCCCCTTTGGCCGCATCGAGCAGCTCTATGTGGAGCATGCGCCGTTCTTTCCGCTGCCGGCGACTGATCCCAATGAAGAGGATATCACCGTGGGGTACTTCCGCAACGAGTACTTCTACGTGCTGCGGATGGGAAATGAGCAGCCGCTCAACTTCAGGTCACTGGAGGGCTTGCACGGCTACAGATGCCACTACATCATTGCCGAGCGCGACATCCGACTGAGCCCACAAGAAAGGCGCGACCGGCTTTACAATCTGCTGCAGCACTATCAGCGGATTTAGATGTAGGAATGGCACAGCAGAGACCAAGCCAGCAACAACACGCTGAGCAGAGTCGACATTTGCTGTTGCCACATGTGCACAAATCGAGAAGTGTAACAAGTTTCCTCACCTGCGACTTCCAGGTGCACCTTTTGTGTCAAGCATAGGAAAAGGGCTGCCTACTTGAATAAAACAATGTTCTTTGTTGATTTGCTTCGCTTTCCTCAGATTCCGGTGGGGCATGAACTTCCCCACGACCGTTTAATGACTATGTGGCGCACAGCGGATGCTTGGCCAAAAAAGGCTGCACAAATGCAAACGTATGCACAGATGCAAGATTCAAAGAGGGAATTAATTAGTTGCCCCTTGAATTTCCATGAACTTCCCTTGAACTTCTGCAAGGACATGCACCAAAAGGGTTTCCTTGACTTCAGGGAGTTCTGCGTCTCTTGGCTACCACCCGCACACTTGTCGGCGAGTCCGTACGCATCCTGCGCTGCATCTGGCCGCGCTACAGATTCCAACGCAGAGTGGCCCATGACGCTGCCATGATTCATATAGTTCTGCCCCGGGTTTGGCCCACCAAAAGTAAAGTCCCCGCTCGGTGACAGTTGCTTCCATTTTTTCCCGAATGCGTTATAGCGAAGGGTTATCGTTTTACTTGGGGAGTCTGGGGATGGAGACGTGTTCGCCGCGTTTGATGAGGTTAATATGGCCGCGCCCCTTGGGAGTGCTGCAAAAGTAGTTCTTTTTGAAAAGCTTCAACGTTGCGTAACATCGTTTCGTGTGGCCGGCGTGGCACTTAGCGACATTCCAACATGGTTCATAGCAGCCACAGCACTTTGGAGACCTCTATCGTCATTTTGCGTGGCAGGCGCACCACTTTCGACGTGTCGCGCTGGTTTTTTGTGCGAATCGCATTGTCAGGGCTGCATCAAGTGGTGTCAACGTGCAAATTCCGTGGCAGGCCTGGCCTTTTGAGACGTTGGATGAAAATTGATGGAAGCCTCGCATGAAACATCGATTTTTGAGGTAGCAAATTTTGCGGTTCATCAAAAAATTCGTAGGGGAAAGTTGATATTTGGAGCTACAAAGTGTTGAAATTCAAGGACGTCTCGCACGAAATGCTCGTTTTGAGGCTCCAACATGTCTGGTCACGATTCTTTGGTCTTCTTGTGGCTCGCCGTGCCTATGGGGGAAGCTGCATAACTTTTCAGTTTCGAAGGTTTCAAAAAAGGTTGTAATGAGAGTAACATTTTACATGGCACTTGCAAAGTGTATAGCATAAAGTGTAGAGTGTCAAGCGTGAAGTGTAAAGTGTAGAGTTTGGAGTGTCAAGCGGAAAGTGCGGAGCGCAAAGTGTAATATGTAAAGTGTAGAGTGTGGAGTGTGGAGTGCAACTTGCAGAGTGTGGGGTGTAGAATGTGGAGTGTGGAGAGTCAAGTGTAGAGTGTCGAGTGCGGAGTGTAAAGTGCAGAGTGTGGAAAGCAAAGCGTAAAGTGTAAAGTCTAAAGTGTGGAGTGCAACTTGTAGAGTGTGGAGTTTAAAGGGTAGAGCGTCAAAGGTAAAGTGTAGAGTGCGGAGTGCAAAGTGTAGAGTGTGGAGTGCAAAGTGTAGAGTGTGGAGCGTCAAGTGCAAAGTGGGGTGTAAAGTGTAGAGTGTAGAGTGCGAAGTGTAAAGCGCAATGTGTAGAGCGCAGAGTGTGGGGTGTCCAGTGCGGAGTGTAATGTGTAGAGTGTGGAGTGTAAAGCGTAACGTGTAGAGTGTAGAGGTTAGAGTGTGGAGTATAGAGTGCGGAGTGTAAAGTGTGGAGTCTGGAGTGTAAAGTGTGGAGTCTGGAGTGTAAAGTGTAGACTGTAGAGTGTGGAGTGTACAGGGTAGAGTGTGGAGAGTAACGCGTAAAGTGTAGAGTGTAGAGGATAGAGTGTGGAGTATAGAGTGCGGAGTGTAAAGTGTGGAGTCTGGAGTGTAAAGTGTAGACTGTAGAGTGTGGAGTGTAAAGCGTAAAGTGTAGAGTGTAGAGGATAGTGTGGAGTATAGAGTGCGGAGTGTAAAGTGTGGAGTCTGGAGCATAAAGTGTAGACTGTAGAGTGTGGAGTGTACAGCGTAGAGTGTGGAGTGTAAAGCGTAAAGTGTAGAGTGTAGAGGATAGAGTGTGGAGTATAGAGTGCGGAGTGTAAAGTGTGGAGTCTGGAGTGTAAAGTGTAGACCGTAGAGTGTGGAGTGTAGAGTGCGGAGTGTGGAGTGTAAAGCGTAAAGTGTAGAGGATAGAGTGTGGAGTATAGAGTGCGGAGTGTAAAGTGTGGAGTCTGGAGTGTAGACTGTAGATTGTGGAGTGTAAAGCGTAAAGTGTAGAGTGTAGAGGATAGAGTGTGGAGTATAGAGTGCGGAGTGTAAAGTGTGGAGTCTGGAGCATAAAGTGTAGACTGTAGAGTGTGGAGTGTACAGCGTAGAGTGTGGAGTGTAAAGCGTAAAGTGTAGAGTGTAGAGGATAGAGTGTGGAGTATAGAGTGCGGAGTGTAAAGTGTGGAGTCTGGAGTGTAAAGTGTAGACTGTAGAGTGTGGAGTGTACAGTGTAGAGTGTGGAGTGTAAAGCGTAAAGTGTAGAGTGTAGAGGATAGAGTGTGGAGTATAGAGTGCGGAGTGTAAAGTGTGGAGTCTGGAGTGTAAAGTGTAGACTGTAGAGTGTGGAGTGTACAGCGTAGAGTGCGGAGTGTAAAGCGTAAAGTGTAGAGTGTAGAGGATAGAGTGTGGAGTATAGAGTGCGGAGTGTAAAGTGTGGAGTCTGGAGTGTAAAGTGTAGACTGTAGAGTGTGGAGTGTAAAGCGTAAAGTGCGGAGTGGTAATCGACGTAAATAGGTGTAGGAGTGTAGAGGATAGCGTGGGTGGAGTATAGAGTGCGGAGAGTGTAAGTGCGGAGTCTGGAGTGTAATGTGTAGACGTGTAAAAATGCGGATTGGTAAAGTGTTGTAGAGTGTGGAGTGTAAAGCGTAAAGTGTAGAGTGTAGAGGATAGAGTGTGGAGTATAGAGTGCGGAGTGTAAAGTGTGGAGTCTGGAGTGTAAAGTGTAGACTGTAGAGTGTGGAGTGTACAGCGTAGAGTGTGGAGTGTAAAGCGTAAAGTGTAGAGTGTAGAGGATAGAGTGTGGAGTATAGAGTGCGGAGTGTAAAGTGTGGAGTCTGGAGTGTAAAGTGTGGACTGTAGAGTGTGGAGTGTACAGCGTAGAGTGCGGAATGTAAAGCGTAAAGTGTAGAGTGTAGAGGATAGAGTGTGGAGTATAGAGTGCGGAGTGTAAAGTGCGGAGTCTGGAGTGTAATGTGTAGACTGTAGAATGCGGAGTGTAAAGTGTGGAGTCTGGAGTGTAAAGTGTAGACTGTAGAGTGTGGAGTGTACAGCGTAGAGTGTGGAGTGTAAAGCGTAAAGTGTAGAGTGTAGAGGTTAGAGTGTGGAGTATAGAGTGCGGAGTGTAAAGTGTGGAGTCTGGAGTGTAAAGTGTAGACTGTAGAGTGTGGAGTGTAAAGCGTAAAGTGTAGAGTGTAGAGGATAGAGTGTGGAGTGTAAAGTGCGGAGTGTAAAGTGTGGAGTCTGGAGTGTAAAGTGTAGACTGTAGAGTGTGGAGTGTAAAGCGTAAAGTGTAGAGTGTAGAGGATAGAGTGTGGAGTATAGAGTGCGGAGTGTAAAGTGTGGAGTCTGGAGTGTAAAGTGTAGACTGTAGAGTGTGGAATGTAAAGCGTAAAGTGTAGAGTGTAGAGGATAGAGTGTGGAGTATAGAGTGCAGAGTGTAAAGTGTGGAGTCTGGAGTGTAAAGTGTAGACTGTAGAGTGCGGAGTGTAAAATGTAAAGTGTAGAGGATAGGGTGTGGAGTATAGAGTGCGGAGTGTAAACTGTGGAGTCTGGAGTGTAAAGTGTAGACTGTAGAGTGTGGAGTGTACAGCGTAGAGTGTGGAGTGTAAAGCGTAAAGTGTAGAGTGTAGAGGATAGAGTGTGGAGTATAGAGTGCGGAGTGTAAAGTGTGGAGTCTGGAGTGTAAAGTGTAGACTGTAGATTGTGGAGTGTAAAGCGTAAAGTGTAGAGTGTAGAGGATAGAGTGTAGAGTATAGAGTGTTGAGTGTAAAGTGTGGAGTCTGGAGTGTAAAGTGTAGACTGTAGAGTGTGGAGTGTAAAGCGTCAAGTGTAGAGTGTAGAGGATAGAGTGTGGAGTATAGAGTGCAAAGTGTAAAGTGTGGAGTCTGGGGTGTAAAGTGTAGACTGTGTAGTTTTGAGTGTACAGCGTAGAGTGTGGAGTGTAAAGCGTAAAGTGTAGAGTGTAGAGGATAGAGTGTGGAGTATAGAGTGCGGAGTGTAAAGTGTGGAGTCTGGAGTGTAAAGTGTAGACTGTAGAGTGTGGAGTGTACAGCGTAGAGTGCGGAGTGTAAAGCGTAAAGTGTAGAGTGTAGAGGATAGAGTGTGGAGTATAGAGTGCGGAGTGTAAAGTGTGGAGTCTGGAGTGTAAAGTGTAGACTGTAGAGTGTGGAGTGTAGAGCGTAAAGTGTAGAGTGTAGAGGATAGAGTGTGGAGTATAGAGTGCGGAGTGTAAAGTGTGGAGTCTGGAGTGTAAAGTGTGGACTGTAGAGTGTGGAGTGTAAAGCGTAAAGTGTAGAGTGTAGAGGATAGAGTGTGGAGTGTAAAGTGCGGAGTGTAAAGTGTGGAGTCTGGAGTGTAAAGTGTAGACTGTAGAGTGTGGAGTGTAAAGCGTAAAGTGTAGAGTGTAGAGGATAGAGTGTGGAGTATAGAGTGCGGAGTGTAAAGTGTAGACTGTAGAGTGTGGAGTGTACAGCGTAGAGTGTGGAGTGTAAAGCGTAAAGTGTAGAGTGTAGAGGATAGAGTGTGGAGTATAGAGTGCGGAGTGTGGAGTCTGGAGTGTAAAGTGTAGACTGTAGAGTGTGGAGTGTAAAGCGTAAAGTGTAGAGGATAGAGTGTGGAGTATAGAGTGGAGAGTGAAAAATGTACGTTTTAGGTGACTGCATTCGGGTTCGTTGGTT